CTCTGTTGCAACATTCAGAATTCCCTCCTGGCTAGCATCTCTCAGGCTCACAAAAGCAGGGCAATGTCCTTTGGTTTTCTGATCTGTAAAAACCAGGCAGTGGATGACTGCCCTACTGCCTAAAAAAGGTTGTTTTCATTATTTGCACATGCTGAAGGGAGGAATGAGGCTTACATAAAATATACTAATTTGAGATCACAGGCAAGTTTTTATTTTTTATTTTAGGTAGTTTTATGACTCATTCAGGAGAGTTTTGTGGTTTATCAGATCCTTGAAACTCAAAACTGGAAGGATTAAACAAAGTCAAACAAAATGTTACAGCCTTTACAAACTGGAAACCAAACTATGACATTTGGAAGAACGTTTTTCAGTTATTTAAACTTTGCTGTTTTACTACGTGGAAAGAATGGACTAGCAGTGAGCCTTTGCTCCTGAAGACTGTGGAAAGCAGTTGAGGCAAGAGTTGCATTATCTCCCTGAACAGGGATCAGTCTTTTTAGATTCTTCTTAGGTTCTTAGTTCACCCTGCTCCTATGGGCAAATTAGGAGCAGCTGTATTTGTACAATGTGGGTCAGGAGTGAATACCTGGTCCATGACCAGCCAATAGGCATAGCTTCTTAAGACTTTGAATATAAAATCCAAAGAGAAAGTCAGTGTTTCTTTAGGTGTGTGTAAACGTGGTTTCTATGTATACCCCCATTCTCTGATGTAAGTCAGAGGTAGTCTGGGGAAGGAAAGAAATGAGAACAGGGAATTGAAAGGGAGGAAGAACTTCCTGGTTTCCCCATCCTTCCACTTCCTACTTCTTGTTTCTTTCTGCTTTTCTGCCTTTTGCTTCTATGAAATATCCCTGTGGCTATAGAAAAATAACATACCTTGTTGTGTCATGTTAGGAAAGATCTTAATTTAAGAGAGACATTTGCTCTTTAGGCATTTGATTAAAAGTTCACATCCATTAGAGGCAAAATTTGAATCTAAGCATACCACTAGTAACAGAGGTATTATGGGAAGTTTAGAACTCAGTACTCTCTGGTTATCATTTTATACCTGTGAAAGCTAAGGCCCAGAAAAGGTCCATCTCTTGCCTGAACCAGCTTCCCACACCAGACTCCGAAGCCATTGTTCTTTTCCTGCTATCTATCCACTAATGTACTGAAATATTATACTTACTTTCACAACATATACACATTTAAAAAACCCTGTGTACTCTTGTATATACCTGATCCCTCAGGTTTTAGACAAAAGCTGAAACTTGAAGACATTGGTGATTTCTACAAGGCTCCATACAGATTGAGCAAGAACTGGAAGCTTATTTCTAGGCCCGAGGCTCCCTTGAATACATTGAACTTATCTATCCAGGATACCACTGAGAGAATGAGATGGGGGAAACCATCATGGCAGTTTCTCACTTTGTTCATCCACAAACTTCAGTGGCTGCTTACCGTATCCTGGGCACTGCTCTAGATCAGTAGATACAATGAGGAACCAGTTGGGTTAATTGGCTTCTTAAATGTTGGTGAGAAGAAAGCCTTATCCTAGTGGATGGGCACATGGTGTGAAAGCAGGGAATGTTTGGGGTGGTGTGGAGAGGGAAACTAAGAGTCACTATTAGGGTGACAGCACCTTGAAAGTGGACATAGCTTGGCAAAGTCACAGAAAATATAGAATGTAGCCCAAGGCATAGGAAGGTGAGTGAGGGAATGAGGGAGTGAACAAGTGAGTGACACAAAGGTGACCCACTAACTGTCACACTTGAGTAGAGCATAGTCAATTCTCCAGGCTCATTTCCTCATCAGACTTTCCAACTAGCTAGAATGGAAATTCTTTCAAGTGCAGTTTTTGTTTTTTGCATTCTGAATTCACACGATACATTACAGCATATTAGGAAGGAATACAGTCAGAAAAACCTCCCACTTGAGATTAGAACCCAAGTGGCTACATGTGATGGACGGCTCGTGCCTGTGGAGATAGAGAACGGAAGGACTGCCTTTTGAGGTCAGCCCTTGCAAAACGTGAACAAGATCACATCTCACCAGGGAGGTCGGGTGCTTTGTTTCACCTTCATAGTCCTAGCTATGCAGGAAGGATGCCTAGCAGGATTGCGGTCTGAGGCTCTGGCCCATGCAAAACTGCAAGAAGAATGACTAAAGCAAAAAGGGCACCTGCCTAGCAAGTGTGGGGACCTCAGTTCAAAAAGTAGTACTATCAAGAGGGAGATATTGAGAGGAGAAAGGGAGGAGGCAGAGATAAGAACTGAGGAAAAAGCTTTCCCAGTGAGGGAGCTTTTAATGAGTCTTGAAAGGTGATAGGAAATCCAGGTAGTCTGCCAGAAACAGAAGGGTTTGACCAGGTTTAAGAAAGTCTTTGCTTTGAACTAGGTTTTTTGTTTTTTTTAAAGTCTTTCCTTGCAGGGCTTCCCAGTGGCTCACGCCTGTAATCCTAGTTACTCAAGATGCCGAGAGCTGTGGATCACAGTTCAAAGCCAGACTGGGCAGGAAAGTCCATGAGTCTCGTAACTCCAAGTAACCAGAAAAGTGCTGCAAGTGGAGATCAAATGGTAGAGTGCCAGCCTTGAGCGGAATAAAAGCTAAGGGACACACCCAGGCCTCAAGTTCAAGCCCCAGTACCGCCCCCCCCCCACACACACATACAGAGTCTTTCCTCATGAAAACATGCACATGAGATTGTAGAAAGAGAAGAATGGGTCTGGGATGGGATTACAGCCTAGGGAAGGAATATAAGAGCAGAAATAGGATAAAGGAGAAGGATGATTTCTAGGGGTCTAAGATCCACTAAAATGAGTGAGGGGTTTGGGACTTGCCATGTTCTTGATTTAAAAAAAAAAAAAAACCCACAAGTCCCCTGGGATAAGCAGCCTTCCTCATGATGGGTTAGGCTATAGAAGATTCAAAGGCAATGCCACTCCTGATTTTGTCATTCATAATTCATTGGGTCATTCATGATATATTGGGTCAGAATATTAAGCCATAATGATAACAAGTTGCCTTTGGAAATTAAAAGGCCCAAAGCAAACTCGACAGTTGGGGCGGGGGGAGGAGGGGGAGTGCTTCCTGATCTGATTTAAATGCCAGTCAGTTGGTCTGGATCACAGTTCCAAAGTCACCTGAATCTCTGAAGGCCTCTATATAGGACAGTGGGTGTTTCACCCATTGACTTTTATTTTATGATACGTAAGATAAAAGTATAGAAAAGAAAATCACAACTGAGAAGGTTTGCCTAGGGAGAGGAGGCAAGAGCAATTTCTCAGAGGGGTCATGCCAGGAAAGGGGAGGTGTATCGGTCACAAGCTGCTGGGTGGTGGCAAGTGGTACTGGAAAAGATGGTCTGAGCTCCAAAGTGCAATATTATATTTCCAATTAAAAGGTAAAAACAAACCTTTTTCATAAAGTACATTGGCCTCGGCACTAGGAAGTGACTACAAAGTCCGTGCTGATTGAGACAAGCTGAAAGCAGACACTGTGTAAAGGAGATAAGTCAATCTGTGTCCTTTAAAGAATAATGAGTCCCATTTTTCATCAAAAAGATCTCCTTGTGCTGAAGAAACATTCTTTCAATAAATCTACTTAATGGTTTTCCCTCAAATGATATATAACATTTCACTCTGGGGCCGGGCACTGCAGCAGGCCTTTGCCAGGACTGCAGCCCACCCATCATTTGCATTGGTAATGTATCCAGTGATTCCTAGGAAGTGTCCTTGTTGCAGGGGAAATGCCAGAAGCCTTGCTGGGCCCTTCCAGAAGGTAGGGCATAAAGTGTTCAGGAAACAATGTAACCCCAGTTGGGCCCTCCACCCTGCCCCCCTAATCCTAGCTGCTCAGGAGGCTGAGATCTAAGGATTCATCTTCAAAGGCAGTCTGGGCAGGATAGTCCATAAGACTCTTATCTCTAGTTTACCTCTAGTTTACCCACAAAAAGCCAGAAGTAGACTGTGGTTCAAGTGATTGAGTACGAGCCTTGAATAAAGCTAAAGAGCAGCATCCAGGCCCTGAATTCAAGGCCCAGTATAAATACAAAAGAAAAGGAAAAAAAAAAAAAGGAGTGTAGTACTAAAGTTAGATTCTATGTGAGTTCAGTGATCTCTCGGCTCTGAGAGGGACTGTGTGTCATGGTTGTAGTTAACTGCTTTGGATCCTGGGGTGCTGAGAACTGGTTAGTTCTGCCTGTGTCCTGAGCTCATCACTCTCCCACAGACCTGCTGTCCAGAGAGTAGTGATGGTTGATTGTACCTGATAAACTCAAGAGCCACTCCTGAGGGTGAGGGGTAGGGGGGGGGAGAGGCACCCCATCTCATCTGTGGGTGGAAGTGTCAGGTGGCCAGGGTCTATCAGAAGAAAGGGCCTGCCTCCTCCTAAGGAATGATTTAGGGCCCTCTGTGACCTTGGGTTAGGCAGCAGAACTACATTTCAAAAGCAGTTTCCCTTTGTGAATCCTAACTTTACAACGTGCTGTTCTTTTTCACAAGAACCCAACTTTATGTAACAAAACCTATTTCCTCCAAGGGCACCCAGCCCTCCCCATGCTGCCGGACTTGCCCACATGGGAGTCATTAACAACAACCCTGCAGTTATTTCCTTATGGTGCTGTTTGTTTATTCTCCCATCGTGTGTGAGTCAGCCAGATCATGATTTGTGGTGGTTTTGCTTGTGAAATCTTACATAATTATATTCCCATTGTCAGGTTGCATCGAGCAGTTAGACCCTATAGTGTTTTCTCATTGCACAACGTGTGCAAATCCATAAGGAGAAAGCCTGAACAATGAGATGACGTTAGCTGCCCAGTCCTCGTCAGCCCCAAGTCACCCGGGAGGCGGCTCTGCAGTTTCACAGATACAACCATCAGGCAGGATGAGAGCAGGGTGACAAGGCCAGGTGGGGCCTTCCAGATGGGTTTCACTGAGGTGATACTTAGGAGAGAAGAGTGAACGATGGAAAAAGCAAGAACAACACTTCACACAGCAACCAATTGAGTTTTTCTTCTTTTACTGCATTTTCTCCACACTGGATTCCAACATGCTGGTCCAGAGCGTGGCTGGCTGAAAACTTCTCCAGTAGGATTTCTCTTCCCCGACATGTACAGTATTTGTCTCGACCCTACTCACTGTCCTGATCCCAGAGGCAGTTAACAAAGACACTCGATTCAAGCAGTAAGTGGCCACAACACACAGATGGGGGTGGGGACAGAGAGTGGAATCCAGAAAAGAGTACACAGGGGCAAGACGCCCCTCCTCCCTCCAGAGGGTAATGGCATCATGGAATTCAAAACCCACAACAGCTTGGTTTTCTTTTTCTTTTAATCCTGGAGTATTTTTTTTAAATCCTAGTATTCATTTTTTAAAATCAAATATCTGACCTGATTCATATTTGTTTGCATACATCTCTGAGTAGTGCACCTTATAGTAGTTGATGTGGCTATACGACAATTACAAATACCTGCATAAAAAGAGAATGGTGCGACTCTACAGGAACACAGCAACCATCACATTCCACAGCACATCATTGGTTAATTTTCGAATCGTCAAGCATTATCTCAAATAAGAGAGAATATAACGGAACACAAGCGCCACGACAAAACAATCATAACAACAGAACCAAACCCAACTTCTTGATTAATCATTTTTTTTCAAGCTTTAGCTCTGTTTCTAACACTTTTCATTAATTGTTATTGTAAGCTCCAGTAGCAAGATCAGATTTCTGCTGCCTCTGGGCAAATGAGTTATGATCTGATCTCAAGTTCCAAAGGAAATGCTCTAACTTTTATTTTCCCCCAGTTGAGTAAACAGTACCATGTATATTATCTCTTGTGTTAGAATAGTGTTGTCTTCACATGAGACTCGAATAATGGTAATAGTCACTCATTTCCTTGAACACAGACACCCCCATGCGTGCTGACAGGTTTATAAGGATGCGGTGGCAGCGTGGGTTCTGGGAGCTGCTAGATGGCCGGCTTTGATTTCTTGCAGTCTTGGGCAGTGGAGCCCGAGTTCGCCTGGTTATCATCCGCTTTCTCTCTCAGATGCTTGGCTTGTCTGAAAGATTAATACATTAACAAGAGCTGAGGTCTGGGGTTGTACATCTTCAGACATGTTTATTAGCAGATGGCACATCGGATTCAAAGGTCACCACAAAAATGACATTTTAAAGTGAAACAACAATATTTATGTTCAGATAGTCGGCTGATGAGATCATGTGGAAATGGTTTTGATTAAATTAGCTTATAAATGGTTGCCAATCCATAGACAACTTAAAATGCCATGTCTGTTTACCAAATGTGTTCTTCTCACGTTCTTACCTTTAAAATATTAATGACCAAATGCTGGGTTACTATTTGTTTTGTTTTGTGTTCTAGAGGGTTTGTTAATTTGTTTTATCTGCTCGTGTAACTATAGGAATAGTATGTCTGACTCTTCCTGTTTTTTTTTTTTTAATTCTAAAAATGTTATCTTCTCTGTGTGTTCTGAGATCCCACTGCTATTATTACTGCTTTGAAAACACTTGGATTCTACTATGTAAATATAATATGCTTTCCATTTCTTTAGTATATAAATTGGGTATGTGGACAAAATTTAGTCTCTTAGATAGGACCTTATGTTCAAATCTCAAAAAAACCTTTGGGAAGCCCACTTCTGTGGCAATCTGAGCTTGTGTTTCACACACACAGCAATGTGAAAAGCCAAATGCAGACGGGGGGCACGCAGGGCACCCCCTCTCCCCTCTCCATAGCTTCCTTTTCTCTCAGTTGTTCCCACAACTTAGGAGGAACATAGATAACATTTTTTTTTTTTTTACCTCAGACATGGGTTGACCAGAGAATGCTCAACAGACCAAAGTGAAAAAAAGCAATCTTTTGTATGCTTTGCAAATCTGCAAGTCAATAAAACTCATAAATATTTCCAGCAAAGTCATTAAAATAATCAATTCATAGGTGATGGAGATGAGTAGGACCATAGTTATTGTTTCTCATTTATCTACGTTTAATAATTTTGTGAGATTTCGTTATGATTGCCTTAGAATTATCTATGCCTCTGTGTTACCAAAAGGTGAAGGTCAAGGGAAGGAGAACAGACAAAGGAAGAGAGGAAGTGTGGGTGAAAACAGTCACGATATTCAATGCACATATGTGAAAATGGGAACAGGTAACTTGAGGGGATGGACGGGTTTGGGAGAAGTGAAGAGGATGCTGGAAGGGGTCAATGGATGAAGATGCATATTATGCTGAAACTGACATGTTGAATTGAAACTCTTTTGCTAATTGGGCTATGCTTTGTTTTGCTGTTTTGTTGTCTAGGTGGTTTGTTAATTTTTTTTGTATTTTTTTTATTGTGAGAATCCCATACAAAGGAGTTACAATTACATGGGCAAGATAACAAGTACATTTCTTATCAAGCATTGTTGCCTCCTCGTTGTTTCCCCTTCCCATCCCTTCCCATACTGTTAATTTGTTTTTTTTTCTGCTCATTTAAGTATAGGAGCAGTATATCTGTGTTTGTTTGTTTTTGTTGTTGTTTTTTGTTTTGTCAGTCATGGGGCTTGAACTCTGGGCCTAGGCGTTGTCCCTCAGCTTTTCAGCTCAAGGAGAGCGCTCTACCACTTGAGCCACAGCGCCACTTCCAGTTTTCTGATGGTTTATTGCAGATAAGAGTCTCACAGACTTTCCTACCCAGACTGGCTTTGAATGGCGATCCTCAGATCTCAGCCTCCTGAGTTGCTAGGATTACAGGCATGAGCCGCTGGCATTTTTAAAAAGTATTTTAAAAATTATATAAATAAAATTTAAATCTGATTACAAAACTAAAAAACAGGTGAAAGAAATAATTATCTCTGTCTCATTTTTTTTTTTTGTCTTTTTCTTTTTTGGTACTGGGGATCGAACCCAGGACATTGCACTTGCTAGGCAAGCGCTTTGCCACTGAGCTACATCCCAGCCCTGTCTCATTTTTTTTTGTCTTTTCTTTTTGGTACTGGGATCAAACCCAGGATGTTGCCCTTGCTAGGCAAGCGCTTTGCCACTGAGCTACATCCCAGCCCTGTCTCATTTTTTTTTGTCTTTTCTTTTTTGGTACTGGGATCAAACCCAGGATGTTGCCCTTGCTAGGCAAGCGCTTTGCCACTGAGCTACATGTCAGCCCTCTGTCTCATTTTTTGAACAGTTACAAAATTATAAATTGAAAGGTACTAATAAAAGATTTACTCACTTTTCAAGAGAACCTTTTTCAATATTCACTGCTCCATCAACTGGATCCAGTCCTTGTTCAGAAAACTGCTTCAAGGCACTTAAAGCTGCCTAAAAAAGGAAAGAAAACAGAGTCATTTGCTGTCTTTATAATGAACTGGTGATTATTAAAGAAAGCTGAAATAGGAAGACTATCCGTTTCATTAGTTTGAACCAATGCCTTTTGCATCCGTTAGCAAGACATAAAGAGGCATCATTTTGTGGGGAGGGGGTTGGGAAAAGAATCTCCAATGGTTTTATTACACCTTCCCTTTATTCATACTTTTGAAAAATCATGTTTCACCTACAACATAGAGAGGCACTTTGTATACTTTGTCAGTGACTTTGTATAATTTTTCCTCACGTGGCTTTCTTCAGATGCAAATACATCCAATGTTTCCACCTGAGTACTTTCCATAGTTAGCATAAAGGTATTATTCAGTTTTATGGACATTGAGCCCCAGGCAAGACCCAAAATATGAGTGGAAAATGGGCAGGAGGTAGGCATGCATAGTAAGTACTAGGTCTGATGGCATCCTAAGAGAAGGAAAGAGAATCCAGGGTCCTTGAGGCTCTGAGGAGACAGGCCTGGCCATGGCAGAGCCTCCCAAGGTGTTGATAGGCCAGGAGGCGTGGGATGCAGAGGTGTTGACAGGCTGGTGGAGCCTGGCTGGGTAGCTGGGAGGCACCAAAAAATGCACGGCTGATAAGATCTACATAGCTTGTTGACACTCTTGTGCTTGGTCCAAATTGTTATTTCTTTGAATAAGAATTTGGTTCCTTTTTCCCCATCCGCTGCCCCACCTCCTGAACCCCATTAGAAGGGCTTTGTTGAGTCTGAGCTAGGTGTCAGCAGTCAGGGGTGTCTGAATCTGGTAGTCCTGCTGGTTCACACTGTGGGCATCTGGCTCTTCTCAGCTGCCTTAAAAAAAAAGTGTTCTTGCAGTTTCCCCAACTTTTATCTTCCAAGGACCCCCTTTGGAGTAGCTGAGTAGGTGTATGATTTCTTATACTTTATGCAGAACATATTTGAGGGGTTGCTTTTCACTTAATAAGCTTTATTATTGTTTCATTGCATTAGTTTTGCAGTTTTAGGTTTATAAGGAAATTAGCAGGTAACATGCTATGGAGACTAAACAAAGTCACTCCTATTACTACTATAGCTTGCATATAGTGTATTTGTTGAAACTTATTAGCAAATACTGGTATATTAAAATCCACATTCGGATTCCTGTTTGTGCTTTATAGTCTATAGAGGTAATAAATACACAATGATATGTAGACTCCTATATTACAGTACTATGTAGAGTAGTCTTGCTGCTTTAAAAATGAAGTGATCTGGCTGGATATGGTGGCACATGTTGGTAGAAAGATCAAAGTCTGTGGCCAGCTCTTGACAGAAGAACAAGACCCTATCTGAAAAAATAACTAAAGCAAAAAAGTCTGGAACCACGGCTTGTGTGATAGTCTGTCTTACAAATTCAAGGCCCTGAGTTCAAACTCCAGAGCCAATATTAATAGCAACAACAACAATAATAAAAAATCAAGGCAATAAAAATTCTTGAGCTCTGTTATCTCTTCCACCTTCCCACCAAATACCTGGTAGACAGTGGCTCTTTTGCTGCTGCAATAGTTTCATCTTTTCCAGAATGTCATATAGTTGGAAGGATACGCTATACAGCCTTTCACTTACAACTTGCATTTAAGATTCTTCTCTGTCCTCCCTCCCTCCCTCCCTCCCTCCCTCCTTCCCTCCTTCCTTCCTTCCTCAAACATTTCAGGAGCATCACTTTGATGGCAGTACAGTGCCCTGGGCTTTACATGCCCTTCTGTATTCAGCTAGTCCATACTGCTGGACACTTAAGCCAGTTTGTGTTAAAGTGTTATTAGCCCTATATCAAGCAATCTGCTAATGAAATTATTGAGGTATTCCTGTATGATAAATCCTTAGAAATTAATTTCTCAGCCAAAGATGATGCTAATTTGTGTGGAGGGGGGTATTGAGGTTTGAATTAAAGGCTTCACACATGCTAAGCACACACTCTGCTACATGAATCACTCTGCCAGCCTTTTTTTTTTTTTTGCATTGGTTATTTTCAAGTTTATAAAGGCTCACTTCTTCCTGGGTCAGACTGCACTGACACTCCTGTTTTTGATTCCTTTTGTTGCTGGGATAACAAATGCCAAATATTGGTTGAGTTTTTCATGCCAGGCTGGTTTGGAGCTGCACTCCTCAAGATCTCTACCTCCCAAGTAGCTAGGATTCCAGGCTTGAGCCACTGTACCTGGCACATGGCGCTCATTTTTTTTTTTTTTTTTAGTTCATGATCTTGGCTTTCCCTGGGAGAGGCTATGTCCCTACCACCATCAGTTGAAAGAGGGGAGTTTCTTTTGTGCTTCTGGAATTTACCTTTCCAAACCACTTATAGGTCAGATAAGCAAACCAGGGTTGTCATTTTTTTAATTTGTTCATTCTGCTAATTAATCTTATTTGTTAGACTTTGCTATAGTGAAGTTTTGAAAAACTGGAAGAGAGCTAGGGAGGAGGTGATATAGTTAAAAAAGAAAGGCACTCATTAGCTGACTTATGTAACTGTAACCCCTTGGTACATCACCTTTATAACAATAAAAAGTCAAAGGAAATGAAATTTACCCCCATAAAGACCCTGAATTGAATAACCGTCTCCACCCCTCTCACTTAGATCTGGTTGGGTCCTGAGTGCTCAGGTTGACTGTGTTAAGAGCAGTCCTGTGGGTGTGCACCCTCATGTAGTCTTGTTCCGTTGGACTAGGCCCAGTCACCCCACTTCCCCTGTGGATATGGGGTGCAAAATGCCAGGTACATTCACTTCGTTTAGGCCCCCAAACCAATCCATGCTGACCTTCTTCTTAAATATCTCCAACTTCATGACATGGGCTAATGAACTCATAATACTTTGGAGATTCAACAGTTTTAAAGCAAGTGATCAGCTATTTTCTTCTGATCGTGAAGCTGTGATCCATTATTGGAACAAATGCCACTTTTAGGGTCAATTTCTTCACAAATGGACTACTGAACATACATTGGGTGCCAGGAAATTTAAATAGTCAGTGTGCCTCTGCTGAATGACACGATTGAAAACTCCAGGACTTCTTGGTTCAGCTTTATTCCCACCAAGTTCAACACACAACCCAAGCCAAAATTTTATACTTTTTTTTTTTTTGGCAGCACTAGGACTCAAATCCAGAGCCTCAGGCATGCTAGCCCAGTGCTACAACCCCAGTTCCAACATTTCAAAAACTTAAAAAAATAACATAAGCTCATTGTAGGCCATTTCTATTCACTGTGGTGGGAACCCTTGGTTTCTAGTATGGTCTGAATACCAGTAATTAAAAGACCTGCATCTCTGAGCGCTGAGCCTGCTCTCTTCCACAGGAAGGGATGCACAGAAGAGCTGAAGGCCAGCTCTTAGGGAGGAGGTCCAGGGTTTTAGCTCTTGCAAAACCTCCTGGATGATTTTATCATCATGTCATTCAGATCCTTGGTATACTGTCTAAATGACTATCATTAGCCAAAGAATGTCCTGCAGGCAGGAATGGCAGTGTGCTCTCCCTCTCTCTCTCTGTCTCTCCCTTTCTCTCTGTCTCTGTCTCTCTCTTTCTCTCTGTCTCTGTCTCTCTGTCTCTGTCTCTCTCTGTCTCTCACTCTCTCCATGCCTTGAACGGACTTTTGGAATTCTTGCGTGACTGCTTCCCTCCAAAGGTATGCTTACAGGTTCCAAGTAACATGCCTTTATCTATCTGATGAGGTCACTCAACCCACATTGTAGTGATAATCCTGAAGACAATAGCTTACAACTATGAAAGGACTTCGTTCTAATTCACCTCTGTAAACAATAAGAGCTACCATTTGATGCACATCATTCTGCCACAGTCATGGGACTCGGCCCTTTACCTGCATGGCCTCAGGTGTTGTCACAGAGGCCTAGAGCATGCCATAACCTACTTAAGATCACACAGCTAGAAAGTGGCAAAGATCTGAACTTGAACTACACTGTTGGTCATATTACTTTATTCTCCTCACACATGATCACTTTCAGCCAGCCCAAATCAGTGTGGCTTCTTGTGATACAGTTAATCCCAAATCACCCCCGGCTCCTCCATGCTCACTCTATTCAGCACTTCCACAAGAATTACTTGAATTCCCACCACTCTCCAGACAAGACATTTATTATTATCTTGTAGGGTCACACAGCCCCTTCTCAGGGCCCGGGTTGGCCTCCATGGCTTCACTCAGCACTTGTGTAACACTTGCAATTTTGGTTAACACCAAATGATTACAGTCATTATTTTGTCAGTTGGAGTTACTGAATGACCACAGATGAGTTGACTTGATTCTCCATTTCTTAACATCTCTTTACATTTTTTTATTCTAAAGACTTTCATTTCCTACTTTCCTGTGTTTGCCAGCAGGAGGGAAAGAAAGGAGCTGGGGTTTTGCCAGGCTGTGGGATGCAGAACACAGCAGTGAAAAGAGGCCTGGGCCTGCAGAGGTGAATTAGCTACAGGGGAACACATGAGCAAAGGGTTTGACAGTTCTCTGATGTAGAGACAGCCATGGGCTGCGTAGGAAGGCAGAGGCCTTTACTAAGGAGCTGCTGACTAGGTGCATCCTCTTATAGGCCATAATGTAATAGGTACACAGAAACAGCTTTTGCTAAAAAGCACTGACTCCTTATCTGGATCCATGAATTAACTGAAACCATTTTTACATCTGCCTCTTTCACTCTGAATCTCTTTCCCCTGCAAGTACCATGGGTGCGGGAAAGAGAGGGCTGATTATAACATCTTTATGAGGAGGACCCAGAACTTGCTTTAGTAAAAAAGAGCCCCAGAACTTCAGGAGACAGATCACCCCCCAAGTAAGGACAATGCCTGTAATCCTAAGGTTGTATCTTGGAGCAGGAGTAATCATCTCATGGGAATCTGATTGCTTCCCTTGAGTGATGAGTGCTAACTTCTCTGAATCCCTAGAGATAATTATCAATCAGACCACACTTTGCCTGGCTCTGTTTAATTATGCGCACCTCTCT